TCCTCATATTTTACATTTTCAATCTTTTTTGAGATATTTATATATATATATTTACTATATATGAGAAATAGACTTGAAAAGACTGATAAATCATAGTCTTATCAAGTAAAACAAAAATTAAATTCATCTTTATAGTTTAAATCATAAGATATGACTGTTTTTAAAAGAAAAAATATATAAAACTTACCAATATTTCTTATTCCCTGGCCTTGTGGGCTAAAAATTTAAATTGACATTGCTGTTAAAGAGTTCACCTCAAAAAGCAAAACAAGCCATGTTCAAAGCGATTGCATATTTAACAAAAAAAGGGATGTGAGTCAGAGAACACATGAATTTTTATGCATTTCCACAATGCTTCCAGAAAGGCCTTAAATCTGAAGCCCTAGCTGAATAAAGACAAGGTGAGTTTCTCCCCTCCCTATTCCATCTCTCAGAATTATATCTTGGAAAAAGAAAAGGTAGGGCTAAAAGTTTGCTTAAATGCAAGCTCGTGCCCATTGAATGTATGCAAAAGGTGACATTAAACAAATGTAGCCCCATTTCCAAATCTAGTTCTTCATCTGCCATCACTCTACAGCTCCCTCATCCAAGATCTCCTGTTGTACAGATGAATGCAACGTTGTTCTACATGCGTATTTATGAGTACTCTTTTCTTTTCTCTGCAGTTGAACAGTCTTCAAGGTATCACCCCCCACTGCCCGATCATTGGGTAGATATCCTGGGCCTACGAAACCTGAGAGCTCAGTACTTCACAGCAAGCCCCTTTAGATCCACATATTCATATTTTAAGTTAACTGTTGATTGCAACAGGCCATAAAGTTAGAGTGATGATATGCTTTTAAAAACTGGCCCATTTGCAGACAGATGGGCTTAGCTAATGATTTAACCAAGATTCTGAGCATATATTTAATTATATTATAGAAATAAGCCAGGAGAGTTGCCAGTTGTGGTATTAAGTACACAGGATAAAGCAGTTCCATTCTATCTTATGCTGCCCTACTCCAAAATACCCACTGTAGGTATTGGTATATCCTTAATACCAAAGGCAGCACCTGAAATTCAGTCAATGTTTAGTAAATGAAAAAAAAGCAAATATTCTAGAAAAGCCTATAAATTGTGTCAAGTAAAAATTGACAGCACATTGTGTCTCAAAATATAAAAATTTATGAGGATTAGGTATACTATCCTGGTATATTTTTAAATAAATATATTTTTAAATATTAGTGCTTAAAGCAGTATCATTTTGTCCAGGTATTTTCATTTTGTTAATTATATTAATAGTTAATACTGACCTTGGTACACTCTTAAAAATTTTAGTTTTTGACAAAAATTGATATGGAGAGTTATTATTTTTCCCCATAATTTTTCAGCAACTTAAAAAAGGCATACTATGTAATCACAAAAGGTATAATTAAATCTCTATAAAGCTTCACCCAGAGTCTGTCTCCTATTTTCTTGTGGAAAATGAATTAGATGTTCTTAAATGTTATGTAAACCATAAAATATAGAAACTGTTTAAGTTCATAACCAAGAGACTTCTTGGGAAGAATTTACCCGAAATGAGAAAAGGAAAGAGGGGTATAATTTATGGAAAAGAATTTAATAAGTATTCTAACCTCTAAATATCATAAAGAGAAAATTTCACACTCTTAATAAATCTCAGTGAACTCCAAGTTAAGATGGCAGACTGTCAAATAAATATATTTTTTCCTTCTCCAAACCCTACTAAAACTACAGATGAGTTTTGTTTTTCCCTTAAAATCTAAACCCACTAGGATGGAGAGAACAGGGAAAAGAGGCAGAAGCAAGAAGTATTAGGAAACTAGAAAGCAGATAACAAGCTATAAATGATATAATTAACCCACAAAAGCCAGAGTCCAAACCAGCAGTGGGAAAACTAGGAATCAAGCTGATTTAAACAGAAAGATTCACGTATGACTGAAATTAGGGGTAAAGAGAGAGAATGGAAGAAACAGTTTGAGCCCCTCCCCTAGCCCACACCACGCAACATCTGCCTCTCCCTCATCCCAGGGACAGTCTGAAAATTACTCTGTGAAGAGGGTAAAATAATCTTTGCATTGGAAGTCTTCAGACTTAAGGTGAACTATCTTTTACTAACAATTGGAATATTAAATGAATGTGCGAACACTTAATACCAAATATAGAAACAACCAGCCACACCTCTCTCCACACCTCTGCTCCCCGAACCCTTATCTTCTAATTAGGAATTTGGAAGATGCTTCCCGGGAAAACTAATCAATGCAAGGGGAAAGACTTGCTTTCCTCCAGCAAGTATTAAGTCCTTAAGTCTGATTCTAGAAAATACCAGAAACTGAAGAAAAGAAATGCTGAGTTATTAGAAAATGCCACAGGCTCAGTGTGATAAGGTAACATTGCTTCTGTGACCATGTGGATGGCTCTTCGCCAAGGAGAAATCATGTTTAAAACACTAAAGTCTGACTTTTGTGCTCTAGAAAGAATGTATCACAGTGGAAGTGACAGAAACGCCTTACTCTATGTGTAGTTGTGCAAAAACTGAGAGTAAAATGTGCTCTATGTCACCAGTTTAGGCTAAATGGCATACTACATGGTCAGTGTGCCAAGAGGCATAAGCTAAGGCTCAGAAATGGCTACATCAAGTTTACAGAAGTAATTTTTCCAGCCCCTGATACAGTATTTTTTGGAAATTTATCTTCTCCATTAGCCAGGACCAGAATTTTCAAAGTCTGTGTAATTATCTGGGTCTCTCAACTGTGGCTGGAGCCCTCCGGGCTGAGTCTCTGATAGCAGTGTCATCCAAAAGTCACCCTTCCTGCCTCACATTCCCAGAATTTTTTGATTTCCATCATGCTACCATCATGACCACATTTTTGAAGAGTTCTCTACTTCTTACTTCTTTTTAAAAACTGTCTATTTTCTAAATCATTTTATGATCTATCACATTCATCATGCCCCTCTCCTTCCTGTGTTTACAATTTTCGGAAGCCACCCCCTGCAAATCGATTTGAGTCACGCTCACCCTCCAGCCTCCACTCTTGTGGGTTTCTCACTTATGTCATCTCATTCTACAATCCAATCCCTAGATCTTGTTTACAGTCTAATACAAACTTCCCTTGCTTATACTTTTGTTCTGTGCTTACTCTGTACCCTCTGATAATCTTTCTCTTTTGAAATCCTGACTTAGTTACATCTAAAAGCATACAATGCATAACACAATTGTTGTTGTTATATCTAATGTGTCTATTTGTTTTCCCCTTGGGTAAAGGACTGGGTTTTCTTCTTGGTTTAACACAAGGGTAAAGACTTGTAACATGTAAGTACCCAGATTCGGAAGTTGGACCATCTCCAATTGGAAGACATTTCATTTGTGTATCCTTGAGCAATTTATCTGACCTCTTTTACTTTCTTTAACAATAAAATGGACAATAAAATAGTCAATCAAAATGTATGGAAAATAAAATAAGAAAACACAAATTCATCATAGTGTAGTATATAGTAAGCTTTCATTAAAGTTTATTATGTTATGCCTCATTAATAATAAAGTAGTAGTTAAAGAAAATGAGAAAACAGCATTCAGCGACACTGTAGAAAAGATAATTAACTACTTATTCTTTTTATTATTTTTTAAAAATATATAGCTGTTTAAAACCTGTATGTGGGATAGAACGTGTACTAAAGTGTTGACTATTTGTTGATAAATGCTGCAGAACCAGCTATGACCCCCATTCTCACAGGTCCTATTACATACAAGATAAAACACCTGCAATGAAAGAACTGCAATGTGGGTGGAATTAAAAAATAGCCTATATATAAAACTGCTAAACTTAATTCTCAGGAAAATGTTGTACTGTTTGAGAAAACTCTTGAAACAGAATTGGGAGTAAAAAAAAGAAAATAGCTAAAAAGAAAATTTTAGAAAATTTTCCATACATTTCATTTATTTTAAAACAATTGAAGACTTACCACAATTTAAAGGAACTGAAATTAAACTGAATCAGGGTTCAGTTCAAATGCAAAAGATTATCAGGATCCAAAATCAATTTTGCGACTCTCTCTATACTGCTATTGAACACACAATATTCCTATTCTATGGATGTCTTTGGCAGTGACACCTAGAGATTGTGAGAATGTCGGGCTGTTTAGCTTTTGCAAAACATGAAATGTGTCTATTTCCCAATGAGTTATCACTCTGCTGGGTTGTGAATCCTTTTCTAACACCTTAGTTACAGATTATGACACCCTCGAAGTCACTGAGCATCCTTTCCAAAGTTATTGTTCAGCATCTTTTCCCAATCAGATGGAAAGTATGTCAACAGTCAAACATTAATTCCTTTGGGAGGGAGGAAGATGCAGAGCAAGAAAAACTTCACCGAAGTCTGTATCCTCATCACCTGTTGATGACAAATCTTTACTCTTCCATCTTCCTAACTTCATTTCCCTTTTTCCCAGTCTGAATGCAGTTATTCCAATATATATTTTCTAGTAGTTTCAATTTTCTCATCCCCCTGAAATCTGCTGCAAATTTCTTCTCATCACACACACAATGCATACTTCCTTCATATATTGTCATTGTATTCAAATATAACTAGTTACTGTTTCTGTAACAATGGTATGAATTTTGATGAAACATAAGTCACTATGACTAAAATCATGTAGCTATGGACATCAACCATTCAGATAACCCTGACAGAGATCATAATTTGATTTACCAATTTCTCTGTAAAAGTAATATACTCATATAATACACAAAGAAGATTCCTGAGGTGAGAAAGCACAAAGTGGATGCTAAAATTATTTTTGGAAGTTTATAAGAAACTCTGCCATATTTATTTGCCAAAATCCCTAGAATGACACACCTACAACTTTCTAATTTTATATTATTTGCTTTTTCTTACCACTTGGATTTTAGCACCTGCCACTCAAAAAATCTTGAGGTTTTACAAATGCAACAAATGTCTCTAACCATTGTGAGTATTGCACATCACTTTCCACATAATTACCTTGTGAAGTCTGTCATCTCCATCATGATCATACACATCTTCTTGGCCAGAACAATAATATCATTGCTTGTATCATCCCATATTTCAATCTCTGCATCCAGCTTACTCTTTACTTTCTTGAAATCAGCAACTTGTTCAGCAATCTTTTCTTTCTCTGCCTCTGGTAATTGAGTCATCTTAGCCTAAAATGTGATAATTAAATTTGTAATTATTTCACTCTGTCAAAAGCATTTTAGGAAGAAGTGGTCATTATAGAATGTTCATAAAATCCATTAGTTTATAAACCTATCAATATTTTAAGTCGTATAATCAAAATTTTCCAAGTTTAATTTTTACATGAAAAATCTATTGAATTACAATTTTTGCTCTAGAGCTACAATGTTAAATTTGAGAATAAAAAAGTATAATTTGATGCCTGACATATTTAAATCTACTCCTTAATATAAATGTCAGACTTCTCAAATATCTAACACATTAAAATTTTAAATTAATCCAAACTTAATGTAATGCATTACATAGTTAGAAAACTATATACTTTATTTAATTGTACTAATAGTGTGCTTCAAAATTTAGAAATTAAACAAAGTCTTCTGCCATTCATGTTAACTAGAGTCTCCAACCCTCAGACATTTTCTACAGCTCAATGCTGCCCTTTTATCTCTACCTACTTCGAGATCTTCCTTTTGTCCCTCATTCTTAGAGTCCAGTTTTTGTATATTGCCCTGAATTAGGATAGCTGACAGGTGACAGCTTCACACAAAAGCTGACGTCTCTCATTTAATCCTAAGCAAGGGGACTAGAGGAGAGCCCAGGTCCCCTTCACATGTCAAGAGGCACAGGTTACCAGGTGGGTGAAAGTCTCTAACAATCCCACTCATCTTTCAGAGTTTAAATTATAGTCAGGCCCAAGCTCTCATTGTGACTGAGTGTATATGCATAACCTATCAGTTAAAATAAAAGCACCCATTCCACTGCAGAAAAAAATGTTCTTGAAATGTGATTATGTCTATCTATATACGTATATATGAGTATGACAGATAGTCAGATCCTGTCATAAATATTGACCATATATTGGTAAACAGTAACAGTATACATTTATAAATCACATGCATATAACTAAGCACATATATATAAAATCATAATAATATGTGTGTATTTTCTGCATATAAGCACATTCAGGTGTATATGTAAATACCAATTATTTTGGGGGGGGAGAATAAAAATGTTATCAGCAGGGTTTATTAAGACAGCCCTCCCTAATTAGCATGCTGATTTTTGAAGTGCTATTCTCCCATGAACAGTAAATTTAATGTGTTGGCCTAGAATCAATTTTTCGTATAGGTTATATTTTGAAGAGCATGCAACTCACATCTTCCACTTGCAATTTAAAATGCGGTATAGGTAGAAAACCATCGAGGTCCCTAAAGTACCATCTTTACAACATTAGCACCTAGGACCTATAACATTTTGTCAAATAAAAAAAATAACTTGAAAGAAAAGTAATTTGATAATATCAATGCCATAAAATTTCATAAGACAATCTATGCAATCATATTGTAAAAAATCCATATGTACAGTATTCTAATAGTAGAATGAGTACATAGATCTGACAGGTATCACCTAAAAAGGGTAAATCATGTGAGTGGAATTTATTTATTGATTATTCACATGGCATATGTTGTGCCTACTATGCCTATGTACTTCCAGATGCTAGTGTCTAGGACACATATATATAAGGAAATAAGAAGAAATCACTTCAAAAAACTTTGAAATATTCTGGATACCAAGTTCAGAATATTGAAAACATGCTTTATTTAATCAATAGTGTACAATTTTTAAAAAGCTTAAATGTATGAAGAGAAAATTTGCAAGAATGGTCAATGAAAAATCTGACAAAAAATAACAATTAAAAAAACAATATCAGATATCTGTCATTTATTATCTCTTATTATAAGCCCAATTCAAGGTCTAACATAACTGGATATCTGTAAAATTTCAGGATTAATAACCCATGCTTAAATTCTAACATATTAAAAAAATTAACTACAAGGGTTTCTGATTTAAATTTGCTTTTTAATTCCTTAGCACACTACCAGAGAAATATTAAATGCGCATAAAATGATATCTATTTCTTAAATAAATAATAGCTATTTATTATTCAATAAGAAAACTCTCAGGTCATGTACAAGCCATGGACACGAACTAAGAGGGGGAGGGAATGCTGGAGGGTGGGGGGTGCAGGGCAGAGGGGGATAAAGGGGGGCGGAAATTGGGACCACTGTAACAGGATAATCAGTAAAATACACTTAAAGAAGATTAGCAAAATTATATTTACACATCTAGCACTTAAAATGTTTTTTCATTTTTATTTTATTTGAAGAATTAAATTTAGCTATAAAACTAGGTTTTAACTGATGAGATTATACAGGCATCTCTTCCTTGGAATCCAAAAATCTTTCGTAGTTTTCTTTCTCAGGAAATGTGGCCTATGTGATATGTTAAAAGAGTTTTATGGCTGCTGGCATAGGGCAAGGTATGCAAATGAAGACACAACTCACTTGGGTTTGGGATCAATAGTAAGCAAGCACATTAAGTAAATTATAAGCTACTAATACATTAAACCAGTACAAAAATAGAAATGAATTTCTCTATATTATCCACTGGTCACTATCACTTTCTCCATTTTCATAAGATTGCTTTTAATCTTTAAAATAATAATAGCTGTAGATAGGGGCACCTCTTTTTTACAGTCTTTATCTCAGGGATAATGAATCCATGACTTTGGATCAAATAAATAAATTTGAGGTGTACACTGTATTCTTATAATGAAGTTAAAGCTATTCAAGAGGTGATGTGATTAAGTGTATTCCTAGTTCTGTCCTTGGAATGCCATTGATTTCCAATACGACTTTGAAGAAGTTACTTAACCATACTGCCTGAGTTTTCCCAGGCACAAAATAAAAATAGTGGCGACTGCTATCCACCAGCCATGTGGGGAATAGGGTTGATTATCGGATAACAGTGAGACTGACCCTGTCATGGACGGGAATCTCATCAATTGCACTAGATTTCCTTAATAACATCTTAATTTATGTGGTGAATTACAATTAGCAAACATTTCTTTCTGACAAGATAAGGGCTAGAAGTTGGGCAATAGTTTACAAAATTAAAAGTTCTAGTAAATTCTGACTCTCACAAGAACAACAACAACAAAGCATTAAATTGCTGACAACTTTACTAAAAAACCTTAGTGGTTCTGTGAGTGATTTATTGTATGCTATCGGTCAATTTTAATCATTATAAAAATTGCAAAATAGCACTTGAGAAAATACTTGATATTTAGGAATTCTGGGTGAAAGTTCCTTATTGGATTATTTTGTACAGGATAAGCAAAGAAACTGAGGTACATGATTTCATTGATATGTGGAATCTTAAAAACTCTAATTCGACAAAACAAAACAGAAACATATTCACAGATACAGAGAATTGATGGTTGGTAGAAGGGACTAGCAAAAATCATGAAGGAGATTAAGAGATACAAACTTCCAGTTTTAAAATAAGCAGGTCATGGGGATGTAATGTGCAGCATAAGAATACAGTCAATAATATCATAACAATTTTGCATGGTGATAGATGATTACTAGACTTATTGTGGTGATCACTTAGTAAGCTATATACACTTTGTCAAATCTCTACATTGTAAAACTGAAACTAATAAAAATTATATGTCCACTAAACCTTAATAATAAAAATAAAGGATCATAGTGTCAGTAAATAGTAGAGCAGGATGTGAACCCGGAAATTCTGGTCTGGAGTTTTTGTTCTATCAGTTAAAGTGACCCAACAAACATGAGCAAATTTTTCACAGCCTATACCAAAATATCCACATTCTCCTAGGTGGCATTCATCACTTTCTACTTTGGAGTAAAATTACTTTCTGGAGTATAGTCATGTTACCTTTTAGAATATAAGTTTTCTCATTTGTAAACTAGAGACAATGTTATTCACCTCACAGGCTGTTTCAGAGATCAAATGAATGAATGTATATGTACACCTTTTAAATTCGCAAGTGCTATTAAATGTCAACTGTTACTTACACTAACATATTCAGTTTTTCACTCCATGCAGTGATCCTTAAAATTCTATTCTAATGTTATCCTCCTGTTCTTAAAAACAAAAGTTTTACTCTCCCATTAGCCATTAGGCATTTTCAAGTATGTGTATGTCATTTACAATTTTAGCTCTAAAACAGGGGTTAGCAGAACTTTTCTGTAAAGGGCAGGATATAAATAATTTATACTGTGCAGGCCATACCATACTGTTGTATCGCATTACTTAGCTCTGCTGCTGTTGTATTGCAAAAGCAGTCATAGAAACTATGCAAACAAATGAGTGTGGCTGTGTTCCAGCAAAACATTATATGGATGCTGCAACCCAAATTTCATATAATTTTCAAATGTCAAAAATATTATTCTGATTATATCAATTCTAAATACTCTTAGCTCATAGGCTGTATAAACACAATGGCAGGCCACATTTGACCTGATGGCTATAGTTCACCAACACTTGCCAAATTCTTTATCCTCTTGATCTTTATGTTTTTCAGATATATTGCCTTTCCACCCTCTTCAAATCTCTTTTAACAGAAATTATTTCCTTTTTTTTATCCCATTCTGTTAGGCACAAAATTTGTCTATTTTATCTCTAAATCTTTTATCATTCCCATCTTTTTCTTTTTATTCCCTTCACTGTTATATACATTGCAATCTTAATTTTCTCCTTTATTTTTAATCTGCCTTGCTACCACTTGATTCAAATTTTCCGACTATGTAGAATTGTGCAATTTCTTCAACTAAAGGGAAAAAAAACACCTTCCACATCTTCTTACTGAATAAAGAATATCAACTCCTTAAATACCATCATTAAATCTGTTCAACTAATGTGGAAAACTCATATAGAAAAAATGCACAAATCACAAATGTACAGTTGGAATTATTTTTATAAACTGAACAGATCCCTATATCTAGAACCCAAATTAAAAAACAAAGATGACCATCATCCTTGAAGTTCCCTGTGTTTTATTCTAGTCACTGTCTCCCAAGAACAATCACTATCCTGATTTCTAAAACTCCAGATTTTCCTGTTTTTGAACCTTATAAAAATGGAGTAATAGTACATGCGC